TTTTTTTTTTTTTCTTATCTCGAACAGTTCAGACAATATGGTAGAGAACACTCGATCGGTGTGTGTACGTGCGACGCAATCTTAAATTCGATATCGATTTTTGCGGCAGTGCACCGTTTCTCATCGAAAGGCATTCGATTATCGTGTTATTCGTCGAAGCGAAATCAAGATATATTTTTGAAGCAGAAACGAATCGTCGATTCTCTCCAACATCGTCCAGATCTCGTGCATTCTTTCAAGATGCTTCGAATGTTTCGCAACTTCGATTCGTTCGTCCTTCAAAATCCTCACTGGAAATCCAAATATCCACGACGCGACGACATTTCTCTGTCCACTGAATTTCCGTATTACGTTTAATCGCATACGCCTCGTCCAAGCGTTACAATCGATCGTTATCCACTATATATAATCGAGTGTCGACAGATCGTGTTTTAAGGTCGGTTACAAGTTAATCTAAAACGAAGTCCTTAAGCTTGTTAGAGTAATTTTCAGAGAACGACCGACGGTGTGTATATTGGCGATTTTGATTTTCGTTCATCGAACGTTTCCCTCGTTTCCGTGACAGCCGATAATACGATGCAGCTTAATAATATAATACGAAGGATATCGTCGATATTGTTCAAAGTCACACGAAAAATGTTCTTATCACTTAAGAGGGTAATCCTGGGATTCTCACGGCGTTCATCAGGCATATTGTTGTAGGTCAAAAAAATGTGTTCCCTGTTCGATTAGGCCACTACGTTTTTTCCGCTCGATTATCGACGCTCGTACGAACTGGTACATAGGTTTACTTCCGGCTAGTACGTGTATTTCCGACTACCTGATCTAATTCTACTCGATACCTGGGGGTTATTATGTACGCTTTGCTCCTGCGTCGTCTATTTACATCGTTAGCTATGGCCTCACGCCTTCGTTTCCAGCGAGACTCGTGCGTAATGGCGGATAATAAATACGTGTGGAAGCGAAGACGGGTTAATATTAATAATATCCGAGAGTTCCAAGTGGCGGGATTCAATTCCCTCATTTTCGTAAATATCAGAGGATGCGAATGTTCATTCAGTTTCTCAGCTAGTCACTTTTAGGCGATTACACGCTTCGCGTTCACGGAGCTACATGTATATTGGGATACGTATTAAATATGATAGTTATCGTAGAAACGATCGAGGCACGGTAATGGGATTTGTTACTGTTTGACTAATT